AACGAAGAGGTATTGCGTCGTATGCTATTACCATGAGTTATTAGTAGTCAAGTACTATTAACTCCGTAAGTTTCGTTCCAAACCGTTTTCCGGTCGATGCGTCCTCCCCTTGTAAGAAGTTCGGCGGCTCCTTTTAGTTTTAGATCATCAAAATACAAGCGCAAAAATATAGAACGGCGAGGATTTGTAACCGCAGTAAGTCAGAATGACATTTAACCCTTTGTGGTCGATGCCGCCACAGTGGCGGCATTCGCAAGTCGTCATAGAAGTCGATGCCGCCAGGCTGGCATTCATGATCGCCTGGTGCACGGCACGGCGGACGAGGCTAGCGATAGTGAAAGAAAACTATCTTCCCGATGCTAGATTCAAATGTTTAGATCAACTTACAGATATCAATGTTTATCGATCTCTTCGAAATCTGCCGACCGCAAAGGGTTAATCAATTTCATTAATTTAATTAATAGAATAAAAAATGCGTATCCTTGTACTTCGTGTGCGTACTCTTATCTCATAGGTTGTCCAAGAGTACGCATTTACAGCATTTCACATTGTTAATTATTTGAAGCACTATTAATTCAACTATATCAATTTCAATTTTTAGTAGTGTCAGTATACAGCAGATAACACTTCATATTCAGTGTTAGTTTGGAGTAAGTATGTCGTATCGTTACAAATTGTACAGTGTACAATTAATTAAAATGTAAAAAATGCGTATTATTATCCGCATTTCCTCTATATAGAAAATAATTATTGCAGGAAGATCTACCTCTATTAAGTATCCATGTATTATATCTTGCATCTTTCTGCATTGGGAATTTGAATAATCGTTTTCCTGTCGATTTTCCATTCTGACAATCTTTATACATGCACCTGTTATAAAAGCTATCTTCTGAAGTCAACATAGTCTTTATATTTTTATTTGCAATACAGTGCAAAAAATAATTTTAAATATGTGAGAAAAAATATGTAAAAAGTAAGAAACTAAAAATGACAGAATAAAGAGAAAAATGGAAAACGGAAAGAAAAGCAACACGTAAAAGGAAAAAAAAAGAATGAATAAATGAACCAATACAATGAAGTATACACACCAATACAGGCATATACAAATATATTTACTAATAATGGTATTGGGAAGAAAACCGTAATACGTGTTGCAAAAGAGACAGATCACGTAGATCTGAGAGATCGTTTAGAAACAAATGTTGTAAAACATTAATCTCACGAATGAAAAAAAGACTGCAGCTCAGGTCAAAATACTTGTCACAAAGCACGAATAGCGAAGCACCGCTATAACAAACGTTATTGTGGACCTCACGACGCAGATTGACTATTCTCGGCGACAGAGTCGCTAAACAGCAGTGCTATAGCGCTTCTTTTGTTTCAAATCGTCAAGCGAATGATAAAAACAACGCTTGTAAAGTTTATTGACAACTTTTATACAAGTTAACTGTGGTGAAACAAGTTAACTGTGGTGAAAAAAGTTAACAGTAAATAAAAATCTACGAGGGCAGTCTGAAAAGTTCTCGGCGTAACAATGAAAGAAAATTTTTTTGCCGTGAAATATATTTTATTTTTCAATATAATCTCCTAAAACTTTAATATATTTATTCTAACGTTTATCCAATAATTCAATACCATCATTAAAATGTGATTCCGGAAGCTTCTTTTCGCTCTGGTGTATAGTGATGGATTCAAGTTTCATCAACAGTTATGAAACGACGCTTGAAATCCATTTTATTTTGCTTAAAACGTGCCAAACACGCTTGAGAAATACGCATTCGAATGCATTTTTGGTCAATTGTTAGCAAATGCGGCACCCATCTTGTACAAAGCTTTTTCAACTGGTGCTACTACTCGAATGACATGACAGATCGAATAAAATTTTACATGGGTTTATATCAGGGATGCCACTTTCCAATACAATTATATTAGGAGCGCAAAAAAGTTCTGAGCCCTAGATTTCATACTACTGAAACCACAATTTAAATTGCATTAATTTTCCCGCCCTCTTGCGGTTTTAAAGCAGTGACATTTGGTCTTTCGAAACATCGTGCGATTTGGCGTTTGATGCACATAACCTTAAAATCAGCAGTGTTCACGATGGCAATAACAAAAGAGCATATTCGATTTTCCATCCACTTCGCGTTTCATCTGAAGAAAAATGCTGCTGAAGCCACTGAAATGATCTGTGTTGCATATGGAGAGAACGCTGTAAGTTATGCTACATGTAAAAGGTGGTATCAAAAATTTCGCCAAGGAGATTTCAGTCTTGAAGATGAACCGCGTGCTGGACGCCCTCAAAAGATTGAAACGGACGAACTGCAAGCATTGTTGGATATAAACTCTGCACAAACTGAAAAGGAGCTTGCAGAGCAACTTGGCGTTACGCCACAAGTCATTTCCACACGTTTACATGCAATGGGAAAAGTTCAAAAGGAAGGCAGATGGGTCCCGCATGCACTGTCCGAAGACAACAAAAATCGACGGCGTGACACGGCACTCACTTTGCTTTCAAGGTTCCGGAAAAAGGATTTTCTGCACCAAATCTTTACAGGTGATGAAAAGTGGATACTTTATGATAATCCGAAGCGTAAAAAATCATGGGTTGACCCTGGTCAACCTTCGACATCGACGCCAAAGACCAATATCCACGCCAAGAAGGTTTTGCTTTGCATATGGTGGGATTGGAAAGGTGTATTGTATTACGAGTTGTTACAGCCGGGTGAAACAGTAACGGCAGATCGCTATCAGCAACAATTGAGCAATTTGAGCGATGCGTTTGAAGAAAAGAGGCCATTTACTGGCAAAGGACGTCATACAGTGATACTGCTTCATGACAATGCCCAACCACATGTTGCGAAAGTGACTCAGGACCATATCTTTGCGTTAGGCTGGGAACTTCTCCCGTACGCAGCGTATAGCCCAGACATGGCGCCTTCCGATTACTACCTATTCCGGTCTCTGCAGCATTTCTTGGCTGATATACATTTTGTGACACTTGAAAAGATACGAAAATGCATTGATGACTTTATCGCCTCGAAGCCGGTGAGCTTCTACCATCAGGGAATTCGCAAGCTGCCCGAAAGATGGCAAAAGGTCATCGATGCAAACGGGGAATATTTCGTTGATTAATATAGTTTTGTTTGTTTTTAAATAAATTTTGAATTTTGCAAAAAAAGGCTCAGAACTTTTTTGCGCTCCTAATAGTTTAACAGTTTCTAATGCTATGTATGTGTCAGGTCGAGAACTTTTCAGACTACCTACGTATATATGTCTAAAGCCCAGTTCCACAACCTCTGTATAACTTTAACTACTGATTAAATGCCAATAGTGATTGTTTAATTCTGATTAATTCTTAACGTCAAATGCAGTTAGTCAAGTCTAGTGAAATAACTAGCTGGTTAAGTTAACTAGAAGTTGTGGAACTGGGCCTAGACGCTAATCAATACTCAGTAAACATACATGTCTAAAAGACGTCTAAAAGATTTCTTTAAGACATTTTTTACACATACAAGTCTAAAAATTGTCTTAAAGAAAGCTTTTAGACGTCTTTTAGACATGTATGTTTACTGAGTACATTATATTAAATTGTAACTTCTTATTTAACTCTTTACTTCATATTTTAATATTATCTTATTGTTACAGGCTAAAGCGTTACAAAATATTATATAAACAGCAGTAATAGCTGTTTTAGGAAGAGGAAGAGGAAGAGGGACAGGGAGAGGAAGAGGAAGAGGAAGAGGTGGAAGCGAAGATGCAGGAAGAGGAAGAGGAGAATTGAGAGGAAGAGGAAGAGGAAGAGGAGAATGGAGAAGAGGCAGAGGAATGACCAACATTAATATATATATGACACAGTAACAACATATACACACGCACATATGCACACACACACACACACAAAAGAAAATAAAAAATTGAAAATATAAAAATAAAAAGAAACCATTTCATTTATTCATTTATTCTTATATCCAAAGTTCCCAAATAATTTCCTTTCCTAATTACACGAAATAATTCACGCAGTGCATGAAATATTCCAGCAAACACAATATTACATGTAACATGCATAGTTTTTATATTATTTTTCTTATATATTGTTATCATTTATGATATTTCCTTAAAAGCATTATTCATGATTGTGAAAATGACTTTTTTGTGTACGGTATTTCAAATTCAATAATCTTATTTACAATTCTATCGAATAATTATTTTGCTCATCATATCTTGACTGTTATACATACTGAAAGAAAACTGATAAATATGTTAGTTCACAACTATAATATAACATTTGTGTTATATAACAGTTATATTGTTGAATAGGAAATTACAACTAACATGCACATTATATGTAATATTGTATTTGCTGGGATGATTCCTCCTGATGATATATATAAATTTTACTATATTCTGTGTAGTAGCTCAGATATGAACCAAACTATTACAGACAAACCTCGTTACCGAGCGACATCGACGTAGTTGACATCTATTTTCTCAGAGGGCGTGTCGACGTAGTTGACGTCTATTTTCTCAGAGGGCGCGTCGAATTCAAAAAAATTTCTGAACCTTCGCTGATGGCCGCTCTCAGGTTTCTCTCTGGCTGAACGCAACCATAGGCCTGTTCTTTTCCTCTACACCGCTGCACTAGTGCGAAAAGTTCGAGTGAGACAAGTATATATTTGTCTCACTTTAACTTATTACACCAGTGCAGTGGTGCAGAAGAAAAGAACAGACCAAATATGTCGTCGATGGTATAGGTGACACGCTATGTATTTTCAGTACTGGCAGTGAATATTAGAATGCAGCCCTCATAATATACTTCATCGTCGACTGCTTGCCTATGTGTAGAATGATCTATGTGATATTGTCAATCTTGGTTCCAATATTTAACTAAATATTTGATGTTATTGTCTATTTTCGCTTTATTATATTTTTAAATCCTTAATTTTTTCATATTTTTAATTTATATATATTTTATCAATATATTAAATATATATTTATATATATTTTATCAATATATTAAAGTTAAATTACTAGCAATGCGATGTATGAAATTTTCATTAGCGGTTATCGTTTGGCTGATGTGTTACACGGAAAACCCTATTACGTTTATTGTATCGAAATTTTAGAATCAAAGACCAATATTCGATATTGCATTGAGAAAAGATACAGTGAATTTAGTGCATTACATCGTACAGTAAGTTACCAAAGTTTTGTATAAAAATATATTTTTTCTAGAGATTAATCTGCGTCACATGTTATGAAAAATATTTTATATAAATATGATATTTTTGAATATTGATATTAGTTTAATTGTATAATATGTATATTTAATATATGTATTAGAAGATCTTTAATCAATTAAGAATCTCTATTATACTAGTTCAGAGACATAGTTTTTTAATAATTCATACTTAAAATAAAGATCAATTTTTTTTAATTAAAGTTTAATAATGTAATTGAGAACATAAAATAATATTTTTCGGTTAAACAAAATTTATATAATCAATGAACTAAAATCTTCCATGATTTAAAAAAATTCATATTCAAATTGGTAAAAAACTTATAATTAAAAGGTTATGAATTATCACACACATATATATGCTATATTCAATAAATTATAAAAAAAATTTATATTTGTAGTTGAAAAAATATAACTCGGATATTGCACCATTTCCACCAAAGAGAGTAAGAAATTCACAACCAAAAGTATTAGAACAGCGACGGGCTGCATTGGAATTATATCTACAAAGAATGTTACATATAATGGCAACAAAACAACAAGTTCTCAATTTTCTAGGCATAGAAAGCCAGGAAACTGATGCATTTCATAAGAGGTATTGTCTCAAATTTATTAAAGTTATAAAAGCAAAGAAGAAGTGAAATGAAAGTATTCTGTTACTTTTAAAACATTGTGACTAGATGATATTGCCTTATATAAAGCATTTTATATTAATTACAATTAAAAATATTTTACCAATTTAAGATAAGTAGCGATGAATATTAAATTAATTTAAGATATCTAAATATATAATTTTAATATTTCTATCAGTTTAAAACATATATAGTGAAAATTTATATTTATTTAATAATAGTTTAAATATTTAATCTTGCATGTTATTTTTTATTTTTGAAGAATACACAAAACTATAAACGGCTCAAGGCATTGTCATTCAAATATATTAGGACATCATCCTGTCTTAAGTTTTCACTGTGATCCATATATCCAAGCTGACCCCACTAGCAATCTTCCAGATGTTGTAACTAATGGTGTACTGTTGGGTATATATAAATCTTGAGATTCTTCCAATATATTAAGATTATTTTACACAGATATTAAAAAAATAAGTATAATTATATTTTGTAAACAATATTTAGTTACAATATAATGTTAACAATATGCTGATAATTAAACATAAGGAACACAATCATGTAGTAAAATAATAGTTTCTACAAATATATTTTGTTTCTTGCAAATAAGATAACTACATTCGTATAACTACGTTTTATAAATAATATTTAGTTACAATATTGATGATTTAATATAAAGAACACTATAATGTAAGTAAGATAATAATTCCTGTGAGTAGATTATACTTCTTGCAAACGAGATAATTATATGTAAATGTGTATCTAAAAAAATAAATCAAAATGCTTCCAATAAATATATAATATATAGTCATAATTATGATACAATATGTTTATATTAAAATTTAAGTGATTAAAGTAATTAAATTTAAAATATAAACAAAGAAATATATATAGTTGTAAGATTTAAATATAACTATTTTTGTCAGACATCTCGTATGCTTCAATTTTTGTGCCTGTTTTATACCATTTACAACCTTTATCTTTATTTATTCTGTATGCATTGTAAGTACATCTGAATTATTAATATTACAAGTAAAATGATATAGTGGTATTATATCGATATATTTTGACAACTTGATTATATATATTACTGCACTAAGAATAGAAAGTGTTTATGAAATTTGACATGGACGAAAAAACTTGTTCATTCAAGCAGACAGCTAGTCGGTTGAATCAATTATATAATCATTATGATGAGTTGTCAATTGATTCAATGATTGCAATTTAATCAGTAATTATATCCACATGATTTATTGTTGTACTAACATATAATTTGTCCAATAAATACAATATTTCTTTGAAGGTGAGGGACTGGTGATATCAATCCAACTACTTATTTTCTCTGAGCATATTCGGCTCATGTACATACATACCATGTAAAGCATAAGTATTTTACACATAATTATATCATATATTAAATATATATTAAATAAATCAATACTGACTACATTAACAAAACGTATTGAGTAACATTTCCATATATGAGAAGAAAATGAGAAAAAAACAAAACACGAAGTTTCAAAACTCTATTCTTCAGGGTAACAGGCTAGCTGCCCAATAGACATAAAGTACGAGTACGTATCATCAATGTTACCATGTCAGCTAAATCATATGGTATGTTACATAACAGTTGTTTTATTATATAACCAAGTAATAGTTATATAACATACCATATGATTTAGCTGACATTGTAACATCGATAATACTTTGTGTTTACTGGATGCTTACCTCTGCGACCACTATGTATTTATAAGAAATGAAATTGAGATAGGTTGGAGAAAACGCGTATATTTCTCCTTTTGTTACAGATCTGAATCTGAGCGTCTTTTAAGATAATACTAATTATATCAATAATTAATAAGGTAATTATTCAGTTTAGCCACATCATCACCGATTTAGATGAAACTAGGCTCATTCAACGCGTTTTTGCAAAACAAACATCTTTTTCCTTTAGCAAAATCGTCGCTCTGCCTTCCGAAGCGAGATATTAAGCGTTAAAGCAGATAACAGTTTAGGTTATAAATCCTGTCAGATGGACTGAATGTAACAACACGACAAACTGCACGAAGTTTATGAGCATCACCACACACACACACACGCACACGCACACACACACACACGCGCGCGCGCGCACGCACGCACACGAACGCAGGCAGCATGCACGCACACACAGCACGCACGCGCACACGCACGCACGCACACACGCACGCATGCACACACATACACGAGGGAGTGCAAGGGGGGCCTTCGGCCCCCCTCCCGTACCTTCCCCGTCCTCGTTGCACGTGGAAAGTTGCTATAACTTCCCCCCCCCCGTGTGTGTGTGTGTGTGTGTGTGTGTACATATGTTGGTATATACTGCATGTATATACATGTTGAGACTTTTTCATTTGTTACATATCCCCCTCCCGCACCTTCCTCGTTCTCGTTGCGCCTTGAAAGTTATATCCATAAGTCTCTGTATTACCGACATAACAGATTTTCTAACCTCGCATGTGTCACTTTTTAACTATATATTTCTCGCAAACTAGAGCCGAGCGACCATATTTACTTGCAGATTCGGCTTCTACACGTCAAGATACACAAGATAGGTGAGTTTGAGCGAAATCCAAAGTGAGGCCCGTCTTCTAAATAATTACCCATGTGAGTTTGCAACTTTCCACGGACGCAAGTTCCACCCATCGAGGGGGGTGCGGGCCTTCGGCCCCCCGCACCCCCTCCGGTGTGTGTGTGTGTATGGTGATGCTCATATACTTCGTGCAGTTTGTTCGTTACATTCAGTCCATCTGACAGGATTCATAACCTAAACTGGTATCTGCTTTAACGCTTAATATCTCGCTTCGGAAGGCAGAGCGACGATTTTGCTAGAGGAAAAAGTTGCTTGTTTTGCAAAAACGCGTTGAATGACCCTAGTTTCATCAAAATCGGTGATAATGTGGCTAAACTGAATAATTACCATTAATAATTCTCACAAATAACTGGTAATAAAAATATTTTGTCAGAATAGCGTCTGTTCCTTTCGTTTTCTGGCGGGTCCAATGTTTGTAAAGGAAAAGTAATTAAGGTTTTAACCAAAAGTTAGAATAAACAATTAGTTATATTTTACGCTTATTGTACACTTCCGCACTTATTAACTAAGGAACATAAAACTATAAACTATTCGGTTCGACTTCGATACGTGTTCGACAATTTCTCGGCAGCGCATAACGGCTTCTGCTACCGCTATCCGAGCTTGAGTGCTGCGGCTAAATTATTCCGCCTGCTTTCTATCTCTCTATCTTATTCTCGACTATCTATCTTACTTTCGACTATCTATTACCTCTTTCGCCTAATGCACGGTGCGTAAAGCGTAGTGTTCGATTCTTTTTGCTTCTCTCTTTTTGATGCCTCGTCTACAATGGGGTCGTATGCTATGTCTACAATGGGGTCGTAAAGTCGTGAAGTCAATTCAATTCAATAGATGGCTCTGGGTGTGTAAGCCACTGCTCCGACGCCACTCTCCGGTCAATGTCGATACATAAAGTGTTGATATTGATTACAGCGTCTGGTTAGTTTCCTCTAGGAATTTCGCAATTTCGGCAAAACTAGATATGTATTTATCATTAAACGCCAAGTTTGTAATTCCCATCGTAGTTTGTAATATCCCCTATTCGGAAGAGTTTGAGTGCCAAGCGATCGGAATTTTCTGTAAATAAAGAACATCCAAAAAGTATGTGTTCCACGTCTCTGTTAGTCCAATCACATTCACAAGCGGAGTCCTCCACGTTGAGTTTCCCAGTTAGATGCTCTGTGACACAGATATGTTTAGATCTCATCCTTGCCATTAGTGTGATAGTTCTTCTCTTTATGTAGTTCAAATTAGAGAACCAAGGTTTAGTGGATAATTGAGAAATTCCATTTCTGTACCTAATTCCTTTGAGTAAGAATTCTCCTTCCAAAAATTCCAGGACGTGTTCATGTAGTTTCCTTTTGAACTCATCGATAAGGTCATCCACAAAAGGAGGTGAAATAAGCTCATTAGGAGGTTCTGTGCTTCTTGCTCCCAGACCAGCCAGAACATCCGCTATCTCATTGCCTAGAATGCCTTTATGACCAGAAGTCCAAAAGAGAGAGATATCTAATCCCTTAATAAAAGCTTTCCATAAAGCAAATTTGACGACCAGGATAATACCTGAAGCCTTACCCTCCGGGTCGTTAGAGTCAAGTGTGCTAATAGTGCTAAGGAAATCAGTGAAAATACCAATTTTTGTAAGATTTTCTTCTGTGATAGTGTTAACCGCCCGAAGAATAGCCACTGCCTCAACGCAAAAGATACTGCCCGAATCAAAGATATGGATGGATATGCGGAACTCAGGAGACGGGATGTATACACCAAATCCAGCACATCTGTTCTCAAGGACAGAACCATCCGTGTACACTTCTGCGGATAGATTCAGGTCACGAATGATACCACAAGCACGTCTTATAAACCCTTCACCCCACAAGCGCTTGTTATTGGAGTCAAATCAAAGATTGTCATTTCCATTTCTCTTGTTAAATCTCTTGATATCATCAAATAGATTAACATTGATGTTAGGTCTAAAAAACTTAAGCTTGAAGGGATATTCAAAGGAGGAGGGAAGATGATGATTTCTCATTATTCTAAGTTTTTCCTGTAGTGCTAGAACGCTAGACAGAAATGACGGGATTGTGTTTAACTCATTTCGAGCATCGTCTCTCCTGTAAGCAGAGGCGAACCAGTCGTCAACAAATCTGATCAGCAGATTCTCCGGCAGTGTGTAACTTTTAATAAAAGCTTTTATTTCTAAGAATTTCCACCTGAACACCAACGGCCATTCAGCTATTTGATCTAGTAAGACATTAGTTGGAGTAGATCTCATAAGGCCAAGAATTACTCTTACACAGCTATATTGAATTCTGTCTAACTGCATAATCGACTTCCTAGGAACTTCCGTAAATACAATACCGCCCCAGTCTAGAAATGACCTAATAAGGCCTTTGTATACTGTTAGCAGGGTATTTGGATGCGCGCCCTATTTAATTCCAGAGAAAGATTTGATCAAGTTGGCTCTTTTCTGACCTTCAACTTTGATTTTGTTGATGTGGTGTTTCCAGGTAAGATTTGAGTCAAAAACGAACCCCAGAAATGTTACCCGGGGAGCAAGAGGAATGACAGAACCTTCAAGTAGTAACTCTAAATGCTCACTGTTGACTATAGCCTGCAGAGTACGGAACCTTTTGCTTTGATCAAAAATGCACCAGTTGGTTTTCTCAGTGGAGATACTCAAATCAAGTCTTGAGAGATTCATACAGAGTATTTTCAGGTTAGCATTTAGTCGGTTAGCAATGAAATGAATATCTCTGTGTTTGGTAAATATGACAAGGTCATCCGCGTATGCCATAATTTCAATTGAGTCATCTAAGCCCGAATGTATGTTGGCTATATATAGGTCAAATAATAACGGGCTTAGAACTGATCCTTGAGGTACCCCCAAGGAGCCTCTACGCGACTCGAGAAAATGCCCACCAAAGTATCCAAGAATGTTGCGGTTTAATAGTAGATGTGATATGAACTCGATAATCTTAGATGGAATGCCAAGGTCCTTGAGAATAGTAAGTAGTTTAAGTGGGTTGACGTTGTCAAACGCACCTTTAAGGTCAACAAAGACCGCTCCCACTAACAGCTTATTGAAAAAAGCATCATTCATGAAGGCCTTTAATGCTAGGGCACTGTTGGCGCACGATCGCCCTCTCCTAAATCCGTTTTGATAGTGTGGAAGCACAGCATGCGCCTCACACCACCATTCCAATCGATTCTTAATAAGGCTTTCAAAAATTTTGAGAAAGGAATTGCTTAAAGATATAGGATGTAGTTTGATGGAATGCGGTTTAGGTATAAAGACCATATAGAAGAGTTTCCAAGAGGAAGGATAAATACCCTTATTGAAGAATTCATTGAAGATTCTAAAAATAGCCTCAAAGCACCATGGAGGAAGATGCGATAATATCCGGAAAGAAAGGAGATCGGGTCCCGGCGCTTTGTTTATATTTGTTTATATTTTGCTAAGATTACGCTGTACTATAAGGTTAAATTCTTCCTCGCTGAATTCTTCGTTGAGGAACTGACAGTCACGGTTATGAATAATGTGCGGCGAAGAACATTTTAGGTCTTTATTTTTAATGTTGTCTCTAGTAAAAGACGGAGTAACTAAATTAGCGGAGTAACTAAACTAAAACCATATTCCAAACTTTCCTGATATCAGCGTTTTTGTTCAAAGAGACACAAAACTCTTTGTACTTTTGATTGCGAATTTTCCTGAGCTGTTTTTTGACAGACTTACATATGGCGTTATATTTATCCAAGTTTTCTCCGTTAGGGTGCTTCTTGTATTCGTGAAACGCATCGATCTTTGATTTGGCTATCTTGGCACAATTCTCGTCCCACCACGGGGAAAGAGGTCTGCGTAAATAACCCGAATTCCTTTTAACACGTGCTTCCGACGCACATAGAGAATCAGTCGTTAGTTGTACAAGATCTTCGTATGCAGAGACTGGGCTCGAATGCCTGTCGTCTTGCAAGAGTTCTTCATGAAGAGAAGAGTCGTTCATGCGTAAGTTAAAGTCCTTCCAGTGTACTTTTGCAATGGAGAAGTGAGATCTACAAACAAATTTACTGGCTGTTAAATTAATGAAGGAAATACTTATAGGATAATGATCACTACCGAAAGAGTTGGATAGAATCTCCCAGTTGAGAGTGTTGCACAGCGATGCTGAAACTAAAGTAATGTCAATGGCGCTGCCGTTGGCCATATCCGCACTGTGCCACGTTGGTGAGCCATTATTGCATATACTATACTGAGAATTAGAGATTATATCATAAAAGTCGTTACTGGAACGATTGGGAATACTTGTATTGTTACACCACAAAGGATGTCTATAATTAAAGTCACTAGTAATAATTACATTACTATAATTATCAAAACTAGTTAAGATCTCTCATCCATTCTTATCGCAAGTTGTATTATTAGGAGGGTTATAAATTGATACAAGGATTATGTATGAATTATTGGTAGAGAAACGAATAGAGCAGCAATTGATATTATATTTAAGAAATAGACGCTCCATAACATCAGTTTTGAAAGAAGTGAATTTAATGTCGTTACGACATGCAATGGCAGATCCCCCTCCCATTGAGTTACGATTATGAGTGATCAGATTATAGTTAGGAATATTAAGGATGTCTGAGTCGCTAAGCCAAGTCTCTGTCAAACATAGAAACTCAGGGAGAGACTCAAAGGAGTTAAGCATGGCACATAAGTCTGTGACTCTGGTTTTGATAGAGCGACAGTTCCATTGTAAGATGCTAAAAGAATTTGACTTTTTTGGTTTACTCTGATTCATAATTTACAAAGAAAGTGAATCTGTTGTAAGTGTTATAGAAGAAGATAAGTGATTAGGATTCCTGCGATTCCAGTCGAACGTCGCTAGGAATGACAGGATGATGCTTGATGATAAGAGAAGAAACAAGGTCAAAGACCTGAGAAAGTTGTTCAGAGTGTCCAGCAATAGAGATACTAAGATGTTGATTTTCTTTAAATGAAGATTGAAGATTATTTTGGAATTCTTTGAGAATGCTGCTAAATTCTAAAAGATAATCGAATTCCGTCTCAGGTTTAAATTCACTGGTGTATACAGTTTCTTGAGGAGGGGATTGAGGAATGGTTGCCTTTGAGTTGTCTACGATTAAGGTGGACGAATCAAGAATTGAAGAGGATGTGTGAGTCGAAGTGTTTACTTCAAAGGGTTTGACAAGAGGTTGGGAGTTACTTTTCACGGAGGATTGTTTGGTTGATTCGTACCTTTTGCATTTCCGACTAGATGTCTGTCTAGGACGATTAGGTTCAGAGCTCACAGGGCCCTTATCTCTGTCATGGGCAAACCCTGCATGCTGATAAGTGACGCCGAACTCATTCACATGAGTCCCGTCTAAAGAATTGTCCGTGAACCAGGGAATAAAATTCTCGAAAGTAGGTAAGTCATTTCCATTATTGTCGTCAGACTTATACCAGTCTTCAGGCAGACGTGGTCCTACTTGCTTGTGAAAGTTAAGTGCGTCACTAGGTCCCAGACCCATTTTGGCCATAATTATCTTCAGGTGGCGGCATTCTATAAAGACAGGGCAATTAGAATCATTAGCACTGTGATTCGTTGTTGGCAGTTTGTTCCTTGTGCAATTAATGCATGAAAGGACAATTGAAGTGCAATCCTTGGTAGAGTGATCCTTGGAGGCGCATTTACCACATACTCTGGCCTTAATGCCTCCTCTGCATTGCATTTCCAGATGTCCAAAGCGTTGGCAGTTGAAACATCGCTTTACCTTTTGGATGTAAGGAGTCATTCTTATTTTTTTACCCAAGTATAGAGCAGCAGTGGGTTGAATATGACTCTTGAAAGTAAGAAGCAGAATATTAGGCTTCTTCCTGTTAGAATGATCGTTATTATCTGGAGCTATACGTCTCCCCGGAAGAAACTTGGCATCGATTAATTTCGGCCAGGTCCCACGCCAATAGGGAGGAGGCAATAAATTATTCAAAATTTCCTCTTTGCTTTCAGAGAAATCAATGTCCCGTGTAACGACCTTGACCGACACACGATAATCAGGAATATAAGCCGACCAGCGAGTGTCCGGTACAATTTCATGTCCCATTCTTTTTAAGCGACAAACAAAATTGTTAGCAGTAGAGGGGTCTGGAAAAGTGACCGAAAATTTATGAGTGCCAAGGTTTTTAAGGTTAAAGGCAAATCTCCATAAATCCGGTATAGCTTTGAATAGACGTTTTCCAATCCCGATTTCACTGAAATTTTTCTTATGTTCATCATCGCGATTGTCGATTGTTTTTTCGAAGTGTACCTCAAAAGGGCCACGTGCACAAATGTCATACGAATTTTCCAGGAGTTTTTGTAAGTAATCCTGTGCAGTCGACTCATTATTATTGATCTTGCGAGCATTACCTGGAGTAGCAGAGTCAGTGGTCATTTGTGTTTGAGCGTTCGAATCAGTAATCAGCGTTTGACCAGGGGCATGTTCCATGTCGATTTCCAAAGGGATCATATTCGGTTCTTTATCCATTCCATATCCAGTCGTCGAAAGTTAAGATGGCGGGCGGAAAAGCGTAGAAGAATTTTGTCAAGAGATAGCAGTCCTGAATGACACCGATCGGTTCAGTAATCAATCCACGATGAAGCCAAGTTTGTTATGAAATAAACAGCACAGGGAAATGTAAACGAATCGTCATTAAAACGACGGATATACACACACTCAAGATGAGCTTAGAGAAACCGACCTGATACGTTAGCGAGTCAACGACCAAGTCCAAAGTCGTGAAGTCGTAAAGTCGTAAAGTCGTGAGCTGGGTCCTATGGCGATGTTTGTACAAAGTTCAATTAGTCACTGGATCGGAATGTAAACCAATCAGAGAGCAGGATATTGCCCGTACAATAATACGAATGATCGATTGTGTTTATGTGTATTATTGAAATAGAAATATAATGGAATTCCGTGCAATTTGTAGTATTTCTTTGTTATTAAATGCTTACCATTTGAATTTAATATCGATATATTTATATCTAAAACGAAAAAGACAAAAAAGATGGTGGATAAGACCTATAAATAGAAGCAGAGATTATTTAGGATATTTCAATAAACAATTCAAAGAGGCATATGAGACAGATCATGAAGAATTTTTTAGTATGACATGAATGATACCTGTCCAATATGATTATTTGTGCCATATTGTCAGACCTTTTCTTAGAAAAAGGAGTTTGCGGAAATCTATCTCAGTGGATGGACGAGTGGCTATGACACTGTTATAAGTAAATGCAATATTATTATATGCTTTTTGAGTTATAACTGCTTCTGATTGCATATAAAAAATGTGCAAAATAATTAACATTACCATTATCAAAATTATATCGCATTCCGTACGCAGCAAAAAATTAAGCGTCGTATGCCACTTTATACAATTCGCCTAGTATCATTGAATACTTGTTGATAATATTGATCTTCTTTGTTGTTTCAGGTTCCTCGCACATGGTGACAATGCCAGATCGAAATCATGGGATTTCCGAATTGGCAGATCAACTGTGCATAAAATCATTTATGAGACTTGTGATGCAATCTGGCAAGCTCTTCATGTTCAATACCTACACGAGAGACATGGGAAAAAGTAGTCAGTGGATTTTGGAACAAGTGGAATTTCCCAAATTGTATGGGGGCATTGGACGGGAAACACATTACTATTCAAGCTCCACCAAACAGTAATTATTTGAATCACAACTACAAGGGATTTTTCAGTTTTATATTAATGGCTATTTGTGATGCCAATTATAAATTTATCTGGATTGATGTCGGTGACTATGGTAATATATATTCGTAATATGAATATTATGCATAAGTTTATACAAGTTGAATATATCAGTGAATAGGAATTGTGTTTTATAGGTTCTAATAGTGATGGTGGAGTGTGGGCGAACAGTAATTTTGGTCAAAGTCTACAACATGATACAGCACATATTCCACTTCCAAAAGTATTACCTGGTGCAACGAATATGCTACTTTGTGTTTTCGTAGGAGATGAAGCGTTTCCTCTCAAACCATATCTCATGAGACCATATCCAAGAAGATTACTGACTAGTGATTCACAGCGAATTTTTAATTATCGCTTGTCCAAAGCAAGGCGAACAATTGAAAATGCCTTTGGGATTCTTGTTTCTAGATGGAGAATTCTAAGAAGACCAATTCAGTGCAAGGAAAAAACTGCTCATAAGATTGTGCTTGCTTGTTGTTTTACATAACTTTATCATGTCTTCTAATGGACGCATGTATTGTCCAACACAACTTGTGGATCAAGAAAATAATGGCATTGTTATCCCAGGAGAATGGCATAATGTAGAGTTAGGATCCATATTGCACCTATTGGTCGAGTTGGTTCAAACCGAACTACTTACGCCGCAATTGTACAGCGAGATATATTACGAAAATATTTCATGACAGATAGTGGTGCAGTTAATTGGCAGTTTGATTGGCATTGAGAGGTTATAATATTAACGTCCCTTTGTAAAACATATATAATATACGAGGGCGGTCCGATAAATACTTAGCCTCACCGCCCGATGACGCCACTATCGCAAGAAAAATTTACTATTGTGTAGTACATTCTCGTAGACGGCTACTGTCGAAATTTCAGCCGAATCGGACTCGTAGTTTTGTTTTGACCGCGTGTGGAAGCGGGCGTGTCCGCGGATTTTAGAAAAATGGAAAAAGAGCAATATCAGTCGGTGATTCGATTCTTGTTTTTGGAAGGGAAATCGCGCAGCGAAATCAAAGAACGCTTGGATGCTGTGCACGGTGACTCTTCTCCTTCGATGGCGACCGTCAAAAATTGGTTTAACGAGTTTCAACGTGGTCGCACGTCGGTTTTTGATGAGCCACGCCCAGGTGTCCCGAAAACGGCTACCACGGAGGATAACATGACAAAAATCCACGATCTCGTATTGGCAGACCGCCGATTGAAGGTGCGCGAGATAGCTGAGACAGTAGGCATCTCAAAAGACCGCGTGGGTCATATCCTGCATGAAATTTTGGGCATGAGAAAGCTGTCGGCGCGATGGGTGCCGCGTTTGCTCACTTCGGACAACAAGCGCAACCGTGAGACCACTTCAGAGCAGTGTTTGACGCTGTTTAAGCGCAATCCGAAGAAGTTTCTGCGTCGTTTCGTGGCCGTCGACGAAACATGGATCCACTGGTACACACCAGAGACCAAGAAACAGTCGAAACAGTGGACCTTCTTCGGAGCACGTTCACCCGGCGAACGTGCTCCGAAGAAGGCGAAGACTGTCTTATCGGCCGGAAAGGTGATGGCACCGTTTTTTGGGATTCACAAGGTGTGATCTACATCGACTACCTGGAGAAGGGCAAAACGGTCACAGGGCTGTACTATGCCGAATTATTGGGCCGATTCGACGCCGAATTGCAGAAAAAACGGCCCCATTTGGCGAAGAAAAAAGTCCTCTTCCACCATGACAACGCACCGGCTCACACCTCCGCCCTCGCCACGGTCAAATTGGTCGAATTGGGCTACGAACTGCTGCCACATCCACCGTATTCTCCAGATTTGGCCCCGTACGACTTCTTTTTGTTTCCAAACTTGAAAAAGTCACTCGCCGGGCAGAAATTTGAGTCGAATGAGGAGGTCATCGCCGCCACGGAGGCCTACTTTGCAGACCTCGAGAAAACGTATTTTTCAGACGGGTTAAAGAAGTTGGAGCATCGCTGGGTCAAGTGTATCGAGCTAAAAGGAGACTATGTTGAGAAATAAATCGCCACTTTTCCAAAATTTTCGTTTTTCTTTTGTAGGCTAAGTACTTATCGGACCACCCTCGTATATCGTACTTTATTGTTATATGTATTAGTTTATTGGAGAAAATCTCAATAAATTGATTTTGTATTAAATTATTATAAAAATTGTGAGAATTATTTTTTATACGATTATTTTGGATATTAACTTATGACAGCTTATTATAATTTAGAATTAAAGTTTTGAAATAATTCCTATTTTTGATAAAATGTACAAACTTGAATATAGATTATATGGAAACATATCTGTTAACACTTATGATTAGGTTTACTTAGAAATAAAACAATATTAAATGTAATTTTATTTTATTTTCAATTCTTTTATAAACAGATTTTTTTATAAACACTCCAGTGAGAAATAATTCGTCGATCGATGTCGAAACGATATCGAATCGATATCGAATCTTCAAATCGACGTCAATCGACGAATCATTTCTTACTGGGACTTATTAAATACATGTTGAACTTTGATACATTATTGCACAAAACTGAAAGTATCAAGTACAATTATAAATAAATCAGTAGTAACTAAATCAGTATCAGTCTCACGTATCAAATATCAGTATCGAATATAATTATAACTAACACAATCAGAATTATATCACTTTAAAATAAAAATTAACACAACACAATTGAACAAAACAAAAATCAAATTATTTGTTAATTCTTTACTCATAATTTTAAAGCACTAGTTCTTCGTTTATAATTGAAATTAAAATTAAAAATCTAATAACAAATAATTACTAAACTGTGTTATCTAAACAATTATGGTCAGCATCAAATACAAATTACAACTAAAATCACAGTCGATGAGATCATAAGTTTCAAATAATAAAAATTTTTTGAGGTATGATATTTGTAAAATGACACAATGAATGAAAAAATATAGTGCGTGAAATAACATTATAACTTCGTTCAATTGAATAATTACATAGTGATTGCTGATAGAGGAAATTAAAAATATAATTACCTCATTATAATGTATGTTATAGTGTAGTTATATTCTATACAAAATATTGGCAAAGCATAGATAGGAAACGTTTCGAAATCTTTATAGTTGCGCAAGGTGAGAAATAGACGTACTGGCAGAACAGCAAGAACGATCAGGCTCAGGAAAAGATGATATATCTTATGAAAATCTGTTGATACCACAAATCAAGACTATTGTTTCATGATTAAACTGTATGTTCCACAAAAGTATTACTTTTAATATCAGATGTAGTAAAAAGAAATCCATTATTTTTCCAATAGATGGCTTTAGTTATCTGTATCTCGCATTGTATAAGTCCGATCGGGTTCCACTAGATGGCGTTAGAGAGATGAGATTTCGTACTAAAAAAACTTCTCTGACAGTTTTGTGATTAGTTGCCTCAGTTTTGTTTGAGCGCGCGTCAAAGATGGACACTAGCAAAGAGAAAATACGCTATATTTTACAGTTTTTCTTCGATAAAGGCGAAAACGCAAGCCAGGCGGCTGAAAATGTGAATAGTGTTTATGGTTCTGATACTGTAACAGCCAATCACGCGCAATTTTGGTTTCGTCGATTCCGTTCCGGTAATTTCGATGTCAAAGATGTACCACGCACTGGAAGGCCAATTGTCGAAAATATCGATAAAATCATGGACATTGTCGAGTCCGACCGTCATGTAAGCACTGTTTCGATTGCCCAAGAGCTAAAGATTGCACAAAAAACCGTTTGGAACCATTTGAATAAGGCTGGATACAAAAAGAAGCTCGATGTATGGGTGCCACACGAGTTAACGAAAAAAAACCTTATGGACCGAATTTCCATCTGCGAATCGCTGCTGAATCGCAACAAAATCGACCCATTTCGGTCGACCATGAAGCGGTTGGTCACTGGTGATGAAAAGTGGATCACTTACGACAACGTCAAGCGAAAACGGTCGTGGTCGAATCGCGGTGAGCCGGCGGAAACGGTGGCCAAGCCAGGATTGACGTCCAGGAAAGTTTTGGTGTGTGTTTGGTGGGATTGGCAGGGAATTATCTACTATGAGCTGCTCCCCTACGGCAAAACTCTTAACTCGGAACTGTACTGTCAACAATTGGACCGTCTGAAGGAAGCAATCGCCCAGAAGCGGCCAGCTTTGTCCAATAGGAGAAGAATTGTATTCCATCAGGACAACGCCAGGCCACACACATCCATAGTAACTCGCCAGAAGCTCCGGGAGCGTGGTCGGGAGGTTCTTATGCATCCACCTTATAGTCCGGATCTGGCACCAAGTGATTACCATCTGTTCCTGTCCATGGCGAACAATTTTGCTGGTGAAAATTTCGCTTCAAGAGAGGCTTGTGAAAATCGACTGTCTCAATTTTTTGCCAATAGAGACGAGGGCTTCTATGAGAGAGGCATAATGAAATTACCTTGAAAATGGCAACAAGTTATCGAACAAAACGGCGCATATTTGACCTAAATCGGATCATTCTAACTATGGTAATTAAAGCCTTCAATTTCATGCAAAAATAATGGATTTCTTTTTACTACACCTGATATTCATATTAAGTTTTCTTCTTTTAATAGTACAACCCAGTAAACACTGTTATGTAACAGTTACATTGTCGTAATGTAACGAAATGTAACACGTAATATAACATGTACGTTACAAGCAATATACATATTAGTTGTAATTTCCCACTCATAAAAAGTTGCAGTTATATAACAGAAATATCACATGTTACTAAAATGTTATATAGCTGTTATATAAATGCAATATTATTGTTATGTAAAAAATTTATTTCTAATTTTCTCACGTCTTGCGTTCCGTCGATAGCTTCGATTCCAAGCGGTCATCCTTCCGTGTGCTGACCACGCTAGGCTTTGCTTAACCTGACGATCGAGTGGCACGCAATTATCCCAATGACTCCAACGACGTTCTTGTGACCTGTATTTATATAATGTATCCTTATAGTATTCACAGAACATTATAACCTTTCATGTCAAAAATTAAAACAACGCAACAACATTCGATATGCGACGAATATCAATATAGACTATGTTTCAAAATTACTAATAATGGAGTATTATGGTTAACCCACAAAAGAAATAGTTTGAAACAAATTCAAGGAAGTTTAAATAAGAAATTTTAATTACTAAATCCAAAAAAAATTTTTGAAAAATATCTCAAATCCTGTTTTTTATTAACATGGTTTTCTTCAATGAAATAGAGTTTTCTTTTCTAAAAATAATATTGTAAAAATATATTTTAATGAAATGACTCAAAATCGAACAAGAATATTAAACTTAAAGAAATTTTTCTCTATGTGAGTTTTGTATGATATACAAGCGTTCTTAAACGTTTAAATAGTATGAGTGCGGCTATCTCCACGAAAATAAGAACATTGTGTCCACGTGAAATCCATGTGGTTTTGTGGATTCCATGTGAATGCAATAAATGCATTCTACGTGGATTCGATGTACCTTTTTGTGGGAATATACATATCAGTATGCATATAAACGTCAATATAAATAGGCAATATGGTCTGCTTAAGCGCGATGAAGGCATTAAAAATACATAAAAACATAGAACTACAAAATAAAATATCTACAAAAAAGCGGAATGGAATTTCTGATTGATTAGCTTTCCACCATTTTTTTATTTGTTACTGTTCCGCTTTGCTATTTCTTTCTCTATCGAAATGCACCTTTATTCGCAATAGAAAGCATTTGCAGCTTTTAATAGATTGCATGAATAGTTGCGTTGTATAATATCAATGTAATATGAACGTAATTATTGTTATATAACGTG